CCACGGCCCCGCCCGCCCGGCCGCCCCCGCCGCGCCGCGCTCAGTAGCGCCGCCATCTTCAGCGCCGCACCGGAAGGGCCCGTTGCCATAGCGACATGGGGGGGCCCTTCTCCGGAAGGCCCCCCTGCTGCCATGGCAACGGGGCTGCCCGCTGCAGGACTGACTGGAAAGGTCCCCAGCGTTGCTGTTGTCCCCAGGACGGGTCCCCTCAGGGGTGTGGAGAGGCCTCGCGGTGACCCCTGCGCAGGAACAAGCCCAACAAGAAGTTGGCGTTGCCTGTGAGCTATGAAACATCCTCGGGAGGCTGGGGAAGCTCAGCGCAGCCGGGACTGCCCTGCCCTGCAGGTTCGGGCTGTCCCGGCCCCACCAGCAGCTGCAGCCCCAGATCCGTGAGCGTGGCTGAATAAATCCACCCTCCCGAGGGAAACTGGTTCCCAGGGAGCCAGTGACGTGGGCCCTGAGGGACGGGGGCTGGACAAACTGTGGCTTCACAGCCCCTGGGGATGGACTTCACACTTTTGAACACTCAGAGCTTGTTTCAGAAGAGAAGGACAGTTCCTTAGAACTGGATTTATTGGCTGTTTTCCACAACGAGGGCACAGCAGCCCAAACTGTCCCTTGAGAGTGCATGGGGATGCTGCCTCCTCAGTCTGACAGAGAGGAAGTGTTGCTGGATGTTACTTCAGGCTCTCCAGGAAGAACTCCTCCTCCTCCAAGAAATCTCGGTCCTGGGAAGAGAGGGATGGATGGGATGGATACCAGAGAGTGCCAAAGAAACAGAGTCCCCATGCAGGGTGATTCTCATTATCATGACCCTTCTTCATGCAGGGGGCAGGTGCCCATCTGTGGTATCCCTGGGTGTATGGGCTCCTCAAAGAGCATTAGCAACTGAGGAAGGACCCAGCAGGGAAGCAGGGGGGTGATGAGAGAGAATGTGGACATCAAGAAGCCAGAGTCCAGCAGAGCTTTCTTCTCCCACCCAGGGGATGGGGTGAGGTGAGGGGCAACCCCCTTGGGCCAGTGATGAACCTGAGATGAGCTGTGAGGATCCACCCATCCTTGCTTCTGCCATCATTCCTCTAGGTGCCCATGGCTTCTGCAAGCCCACCCAGCAGCTCAGCCCTCACAGCCTCTCAGGCTTCACCCAGCCCTGTTCCCACCCAGCTGGTTTGAAGCCCCTTCCAGCTCTGGTTTCCCCACCACCTCACCTGCTGGTCCCTGTACTTGAGCAGCAACAGTTGGGCATAAAGCACCTCAGGGTTGGCCGTGGCCAGGCTTTCCCTGCCATCCCCGTGGCTGTGCTGAGGGAGATTCCTGTTGGGAGGTGGAAAACCTGGAACAAAAGCTTGAGTATGTGCTGCTGCTGCTGCCATTAGAGCAACTGCAGATGGAGACAACACAGCCTCCATTTTTTTGCTGCCTGCATGTCCCTACAGCAGAGTCCTCCCCAGATTTCCACAGTTCAAATGGGTTTTAACCCACCTGCCTCTCCCTTCCTGCCCCTTCTATCCCTCCTGGCACTGCCCTGGCTCAGAGAGCTCCACTAAACTCTTTCAGAGGACGAGGAGGCCAACTCACATCTCAGGTTTATATACAGAGGAACTAAAACCACCCCCAGGAACATCCCAAGCCTCCTGAGAAGTGCAGTACATGTGCAGCTGCTCCCCAGCACATCCCTTCCCATCAGCAGCATGCAGGAAGCCTTACACAGCATCGTGGAGGGGGCACAGAGGTCCTGGCCTGTGGTCAGGAGTGCCATGGGGTTGCTGGGCTGTGTCATCTGGAAAGCTGTGCTCTGCCACTCCTGCCTCATCTCCAGGAGAGAGAGAGAGAGAAGCTGTTGGCAAAGGCTCAGGCCCTTGGCGTGGCAACCTGGGGCTGAGAAGGGGAGGTGAGGGGGTATTTACCTGGTGCAGACGCTGTTCCTGCTGCCTCAGCTGCTCCAAGTGCTGCTGCATGAGCTGCAACCTGCTGTGGTGCTGGGACTCGATCCTGGTCGCCTCCTGCAGGGCTCGCTCGCCTTCCTCGCGCTTCTGGGACGAGAGCTGCAAGGCAGGGAGGCTGGGACAGGGCTCCTTTCTGCATCCCCTCCCAGGACAGGATTCACGAGGGGTGTGAAAGCCCAGCTTTGCTGCCCAGCTGTGACCTGCAGCACAGACTCTCTCCTTACCCTGGCCATGCTTTTCAGCTCCTCCTCCTGGCGCCGGACACACAGCTCAGCCCTGTTCACCTTCTCCTTCTCCCGCCTCAGCTCCTGCCAGGCCTCCTCCTGCAGTTCCCTGTCCCTGGCCAGCTGCTCCTCCTTGACTTTCAGCTCCTGGCCCCGAATCTTCAGCTCTGCCTGCTCCTAGGATGGGGAAACCAACGCATGATATGCCCTGTCCTGGACACGATCTCGTGCCTTCCCAAGTGGTGGGAAAGATCCGTCCCTGCTGAGCTCCTCGTGTGTGCCAGTGTGGGGCACAGAGCTACCACACCAGCTTGGACTTGATGATCTTCAAGGTCTTTTTCAACCTTGACAACTCTATGATTCTGCTCCAGCAGTGCCCTCCCCATCAGGGACCAGGCCTGGGGTTGTACAGACAGACACACACTCCTTACCCAGGAAGGACAGACCCCTCAATGTGCTCCAAACCCTAAACATGCTCAAGGCTCAGCAGTGGAGATTATCCAGCCTGAATGGTCGTTTTTCATCCTGATAGGCCTTAAAAATGTTGCTCTGCTACACTGTCCGTATCAGATATTCCCTCTGGACAGTCCTGGGGAAGCAGAACTGACTCTGGACACCTCCCCATGGCACAGGGAGGTTTCACTGAACCCAACGTGGGGTTTCCTCTCACAACAGAGGCAGCTGCACCTGGCCTGGCTGCCCAACCCCCTCACAGGCCAAAGGCAGAGACAGAAGCAACTGATGCTTCAGTCAGCTTCTCAAACAGGTTGGTGGAAGCTGTTCCTCACCACCCCGACTGATGCCTCTGCCTGAAACACCCGAGGGCAGCTCTGAATGTCTCCCCCGTGGGCAGGAGTGCTCGGTGAGCCTGCCAGGCGGTGCTGGAGGCCGCGGGGAGGGGCTCCCCTGCAGTACCTTGGCCAGGCTGACGATGGTGCCCTCTCTCTGGGACTCCACCTGCCGGGCTCGCTCCACATCGCGCTCCATCCGCTCCTTGCTCAGCTGCTGCTGGGTGTGGAACTCAGCCCACTCGGCCGCCAGCTTCCGTCGCTCCTCCGAGCACTTCTGCATCACCGACGTCTGCTCCTCCAGCAACGTGCTCTGGGGAGCATCACAAGAGAGGGAGAGAGAACAGCACTAAGTTCTCACTGCAGGGATTTTCTCCTTAAACTCATCTCTGCCACTAAACCCCCCTGCAATGTCTGGAGGCTGTTTCAAGCCTGTGGGTGCCCAAGCTGCACAGGTTCTAGCCCCACACTCAAGAACCAGCAGGCATCACAGCAGCCTCCTGCACCCACCTGGGGCCTGATGGAGACTCAACCGTGTGACCAAGTGTGGGACTGAGGAAGCAGAGGGAGGATGCTGCAGCCTGACACCCAGCTCTTTCATCCACCACAGACCAGTGAGACCCAGGGGACACATGAGAGGCACCTGGAGACACCTGCCCATCTCACCTTTGCCCTCTCCAGCTCTGCTCTCTCCAAGGCCAGCTGCTGGGCTGTCACTCGCCGCTGCTCCTCCAGAGAGTGCTGCAGTGATTCCAGCTTGGACTGCTCTGCTGCTGCCTTCCATCGCTCCTGGATCCAGACACAGAGGACAGAGAGATTTTATTTACAGGCTCCAAACCAGGAACTTCCAGACACACCCCCCCACCCAGACAGGATAGGGCACAATGTTGGGTCACCTGCTCCAGCAGCCGAGTCTGCTCGCCCAGCCTGGCCTCCATTTTGGCAATCACCTCCTGGAATCGGCTCCTCTCCTCCTCCATGTCCCTCTGCTGCTGTGACAGCCTGTCCTGGAGTGCTGGGGAGAGACAGCAGCAGGGCCATGAGCAGCATGAGGTGAGAAGCCTCCTCTGTCCACACCATATTCATGGAAAAGCTGCATGCACTTGTGCTCATCACCTTCTGCACATCACCAGGAGACCCATTTGTAAAGAGGGAGACAATAAGATGTCCTGTGACCAAGGTCACAAGCCTCTGGCTGACTCAGAGCCCCAACTTTCTTCCCCTTTTCTGGGTGTCCCTAGCCCCAGTGAGGACTCTGAAGCCATTCTGGCAGAAGGGAACAGCAGACCTACCCTTGTGCTGCCTGTCCCTCTGCCGGGCCTCCTTGTCCAGCTCCTGGGAGGTGGTGTGATGCAGGGTCTCCACCTTCTGCAAAAGTTCATGTAGGTCTCTGGAGAACTTCTCTATCTGCTCAATGACAGTGTTCAGAGACCTGCAGAGAGAAGCGAGGGGAGTGTCACCCCTCTGGGACATACTTTTGTCTCCCATGATGGAGAGGGGGATGTGTGGTGGGCCAAAGGCCAGGTAGCCCTGCCCCAACCTCTTGGGGTCACAGCCTAAGAGGAGGTATGGCCTCCAATAAGAGGCCTCCACAGGAGGAAGTTGTAGCTGCTGCTTAGGGGAGAACTGATGGCAATTACACAGCTCAGTGTCCCTGGGGGTAGCAGGTGGGAGAGGGGGTGGCTCCTGTTGCCATGATCCAAAGCTGGTTCCCCACAGGATAGGGAATACAATGGCCAGGGAACAAGGTGTGGACACGATGGTGGCTGTTGGTACCTGGTGTGTGAAGTGGCACTGGTCACTGCATCCACCTCCTGGTCTTTCAGCCACTTGAGCCTCTGGAGCTGCTCTTCATAGTCTTTGCGCATCTCCTGGACAGACACCCTGCAGGACACAGAACACCAAACAGTTACACACCAGTGCTCCCCGTGACAGGCACCATGGAAGAGGCTTGGCTGTGGGGCTGAGAACCAGGCCCCAGGAGCTCAGCTGGCACGGGGCATCCCCCTGACAGGTATCCACATTTGGGGGTACAGGCTTCTCTGTCAAACCTGACTTCTCATTGACCCAACCCAGGTGGACATCAGTGACTCACTGACCTGACTAAAAGGGACCTGGGGAAAGAGAACACCTGGTTCAGCATCTTTGAAAACACAAAGCATTCACTCTGAACCATGTCTCCAGCCAGTGTCCACCTACAAAGCAAATCCCTATTCCAAAAGTCACCAAGATGCTCACAACCCAACACTTCTGGAGTCCGTTTTCTCCTTTCCCCATGTCCCCAAACTGTTCCCCAGTTCCTTTGCTGAGACAGGAGGGTACCAGCCCCACGTGTGCTGCTCATGCCACCCTCACCTCTGCAGCTCCTGCAGTCGCTCCACCTCCAGCACCTTCTGCTGCTCCAGCTTGGCCACGTGCTGCTGGTGCTGTGCCACCAGCTCTGCCATGGCCTGCTCCTTATCCTGCCTCTGTGTCTGCAGCTGAGCCACCAGCTGCTCCTTCTCCTGCTGCAGCCTCTCCTCCCGCTGCCTGTAGGTCTCCTCCACCACCTTTACCTGGCTCCTGCCCAGAGAGGTCACAGCAGGGAAAAACTGTTGCTTTCATGGCAATTCCAGGTACTCTCCACCCCACAGTGGAGCAAAGCGGTGTTGCTGTGTGCATGGGGAAACTGAGGCACAGGCTGCTTCACTCTTCACAGTCTGAATCCTGACCCACTTGCCACTGCCCAGTGTGGTGCCCTGGCTGGGAAACTTGCTGGAAATGGGACTGGCTCTTCCTTCTTGTCAGCCATGGGACAGTGCTGGTGAGAGTGGACCCCACCTCGGGTCACTCATGGGGCTGCTCTCTGTCCCCCCCAGGTCCACGTCCATGTGCCTCTGTGCCTGCCCACCCCAGGAATGGACTTGGGAAGTCCCCCAGTACTCCCATTGCAGGGGAGATGGACAGGGCTGCAGGCAGGGATGTGACACAGAGAGGAGCACAAGGAGCCTGGTACCTGTGTGTACTTTTGAGGAGATCCAAGTCCTCCTGATGACGCTGTTGGAGACTCTCCAGCAACAGCTTGTGCTGCATCCGCTCCTGCTCCAGCATCTGGACCTGTGGAGCATCCATGGAGAAGGTCTCTGTGCCACCCCAGGGACAGAGCTCCCACAGCAGCACTTAAGGTGGTTTCTCCTCTCTCACCTGTCACCTTGATGCTATTTGGAGCAGACCTGACCTCTTCTCCCCACCCTGGGTCACCCGTGGGTCCCCACCCAGCAGGTGATGGGGCTTACCTGGCTCTCCAGCTCTGCCACACGCCTCTGGGCACTGATCAGTGCTCCCTGACAGCCTGACACATCCTCACAGAGTTGGGCTGCAGGAGGTCCCAGCCTCCTCTCATGCTGCAAACCCAGGGCTGGGGACTCTGCCTGTGGGGGTGGAAAGAGAAGATTGAGGCCCTTCAGGATCAGTGGGTTTGTGATGTGGCCAGCAGCCCCCAAAGGAAGGCACATGTCTCACCTGCAGCTGTGGAGCAGCCTGGAGATGTACTTTGGGAGCAGCCACCTGTGGAGAACAGGGATGCTCTCAGGGAGGTAAAGTCCTGAGGAGAACATCTCCACCTAGCCTGGGAACAGCAATCCATGCCCAGCCTCCTGCTGTCCCTCCTCAACCCTTCTCCAGCCCAACCCCACTGCTGGCCTGGGTCCCTTCTCCTTGGGTGACACTCAGCAACTCCTACCCGAGACACAAACATGCTGCCCTATTCCTCACTGGAGACAGATTCAAGGGTAAGACCATGACTCCTTTGGGAGATGGCATGTGTCCTGCCACCAGGGCAGGATGAGAAGGTCCAGCTAGATAAGAAATGGAAGCTTCGAAGATGAAGCAAGAGGTGCCCTCTCTGTCAGAGGCTCTGATGTCCTTCCAGTTGTCTAGGAACAGTCTCAGAGCATCTCCACCACAATGCTGGGGAAAGCCAGTTGAAGGAAAAGTCCTTTATTGACTGGAGCCTCTGTTGTCTCATTAATATAAACATGCCCAGGGAACTGTGTAAATGCTGCTCAGGCAATGCAGGGTTGAAAACACACAATTTGCAAAGGATCCAGAGCACATGCACTTTGGCTTTGACAAATACAACTTGTGGCATGTCAGAGCTCTCCAAACTCTTTGCCACCATGAACATGGGCTCCCAGAAATGCAAAGCTGGGCCCAGCCTTCCTCTGCCAAACCAGCACTGACAGAGCTGGATATTGGCAAGTTGGGTAGGGGAGGGCTTGAGATCATCACACCAAGCCTGCACCTCTTGGAGATGTGGGAGCAGCAGACCTACCTGAGCAAGTGGGGCAGGGTCCTGTGTCTCCTGCTCTCCTGGGAACAAGGCTGTGGGGACTGAAAATTGAACAAGCTGATGATTCAGATATGACAATGGGAACCATCCCTTTCCAGAAGGATGAGAGCCTGGGTCTCCTGAGCAGAGAGACAAGGGTCCTGTTCTGCTCCAGTGATAGTGATGGAGGGTCAGATAGGCTTGTCTGTATCTGCATCCCAACACCACCCCACACAGGATGGAGGGAGTCTGCTCTGCAGAGTAAGTTTAAGGGCAAAGCACAGCTCCTCCTCCATCCTTGTTCCTCAGGAAACCAGCCAGGTCCCCTAAGCCACCTTCAGTGGCCTCTAAACTGGTGCAGGGTCTCAGCCCAGGGCAGGAGGAGCTCTTCCAGCACAGAGCACTAGGGGGACGAGCGTGGGGGCAGCAGGAGGGGAGAGAAATGGGACAGCACGACCTGAAGCCCACCCATTGTTCAGAAAGAGCAAGTCTCTTGCAGCCCCTGACACCCCTAAGGCAGCACTGCAGAGTTCAGCACACCCCAGCACAACATCCCCACCACACCACAAAACTGGGATGGTGGGATCCTGGGATTCTACAGCTTGGCCATGCTGGTCTGACAATGGCTGGTCAGAGCCTGGACAGCAGGCACAGGGCCAAGGGCACTGCTTGTGGCTTCTGCCTTTCTTTGTTTCTGTGGGGCAGGGGGGACTCTCTCTCTACATAATGCTGCCCAAATTGTGCAACCACAGCAAACCTACCCAGGGTGCTGGTGTCTCTGGAGGGATCCACCTTTGCAGGCTCTGACGGGTGAGCTGAGGCTTGTTTAGTGGTGCTGAGCCAGGGAACCAATTGCCTGCATGGGCAAAGAGGCAGGAGTGATGCCCAACAGTGCCAGGGATGGGCACATGGACATGATCCTGTCTGGCATTTCTCTTAAAGTTTCAAGCTTGGCTGTCCCATTGGGATCAAACAGGCAAAAGCCTGATGATCTTTCAGAGCTGCATCCCAGTCACAGAGGCCCCAAAATTATCACTGGTGACTACCAGCCCTTCCCATTCCCCCATCTCAGACAGGCAGCTGCTTTCTGCAGGACACCTCTCCCATGGAGGATGCCTGGAAGGTGGAGACCTTACCTAGAGCTGTCTGTGCTGGCTGCCTTGTCCTGCAGGGCAGCTGCCTGCTGTGGTGCTCCTGTGGAGGCAGCTGGCTGGCTGCAAGCAGAAAACATCCTATGGGAGAGAGCTGAGGAGGCACACCAGTTCCTGCCTCGCAGGGTGCAACCTTGGCCACAAGTGTAAGGAAAGCCTAGGGGTATGCTGGGACTTTGAGCTGGATCAGAAAGCCCCCACGTTATCACCCCAACCTGAGACGAGATTGCGCTTAAAATTAATTTCCTAAATCTGAGCCAAGGGTTTCTGACAGGTCCTGCTGGAGCAGCTACACATGGAGCAGACAGGAGTGCTGTGGCCATGAACTGTGCCTTTACCTGACAGAAGAGTGGGGATCCAGCCCTTCTCTGGGGGCCTCCAAGGGCTTGGCATGTCTCTCCTGGGCCTTTGCCTGTGCTTTCTTTCGAGACAAGGCAGCACTCAGCCAGTTCTCCTCCTCCAGCAGGTCAGGTTTAGCTGCCGTGTCCTCTGCAGCCAAGGGCTGGCTGGGGGAGAGTGCAGCAGGACTGGCCTTTGCTGGAGATGGTGGCTCCAAATCTATGAACTCCTCATGCTTCAAGCCCAGCCAGTCACCTCCAGCCCTGCTGCCCTGCAGAGAGCTCTGCCTGGCTGGAGGAGGAGGTTTGGAGCTGGGCTCTGGTTTTGGTTCTCTGTTGCTCTCAGCTGAAAACCTGCTGCAAGGAAAAGCAGTCACACACTTGCCTGTGAGGGGCTCTGGGGACCTGCCTCTGAGGGGACCCTGTCTATACCTCACTGCCTGCCTCCTTGACGACTGGCCCTCAAGTGTGGAGGCCACCGTGGGCTGGTACACTCCAAATACAAAATCTTCCTCATTCCAACCCTCTTCCTTCTCTGTTCAGACAAGCAGCATCGAGTCAGTGCCAAGAAGAACACCCAGCAACAAAGACACCAGCCCTCCTCCACCCCTGCAATTCCAACTGGGATCACTGCCTCTGGAAGAACAAAGCTGGAAACATCTTCCCTGGCAAATTTCCCCTCAGCATGGCTGGGAAAAGTGTCTTTGCTGGGACTCAGCTCATGTCAAAGGGCAGCTGAGTTATGGGTACTGTGTGAATGCTGCTGGGCTGCCTGGAGGGCAGAGCTCACCCCTTCTGCACCAGCCCCTTCCCCCTGCACTGCCCAAGAGCCCTTCAGCCACACTGCTCACCCCTGCAGAAAGAGTATTTCCCCTGCAACCCTTAGAAACCAATCTCACTCTCCCAAGCCAACGCTGTCACCTCTGCAGGCCTTCCCAATGTCCCTGGCTGTGCTCACCTGGCTGCTTTTGGTACTTCTCCAGTTTGACCTCCCTGCGCTCCCTCGTGCCAGGCGGTTCCAGAGTTTTGGCCACGGAGCCTTGTCTTGGTTTGAAGTGGGCTGGCTGGAGCTCCTCTCTGCTGGGGACACAGTGACAGATGGGTTCCTCTCAGACAGGGCTGTTCCTCATCACACAGACTTGCCAGGGTGCTCTGGCTCTTCTCTGCAAAACGAGATGCTCTTGCCCCTTTCTGGGACCCTCCAGCATCCCCCCCCACACCATGGAAGCCTCATCTCGATGCACAAGCCATCCCCTGCTTTACTCCCACTGCCTCTCCATTGCCCTTACTCTTCCATCTTCTTTCCTTGTTTCTCTTCTCCTTTTGTGCCATCCCCAAGTCCCAATGCCTCCATCAGGTCATCACCATCATCTTCAAACATGAACTCCTCCCTCCTCCGGACTGGGGCTGCAGAGGGCAGGGGTGGCTCTGGGGATGGGATCACACACAGCAGGAGGTTTGATCAGGGCTTTTCTTTTTTTTAAAACAAGACATCAAAGCCTGCTCTTATCTCTCAGGACCATTTACAAAGTAATTTCTTAAATAAGTCTTTTCAGTGACCAAATCTCAAGTGACAAAGTGGCAATGCACTATGGCCTGGACTGTGCCCACTGGTGGGACAATGGGTGTCACTAACACTGGGGTTTCCAGCTCTAACACCAGCAGCTTTTTTAGCTTTGCAAGTTTCCAATCAGATAATTCCTGCCCCCCTTCACCCAAAGTTCCTGTTCCACCAATGTACCTTAGTCCTTCCCTAACCAACCAGCTGCTCTTTGTGTTCAGAGTGGATTTATAGAGGTGAAAGGTGATTTTAAGGGACTACCAGGCCCATTAGCATCCCTGCTGCAGGAACAAGAGGGATGAGTGCCTGTATCCCAGGCACAGTGCAGCTGGATCCCACTCAGGGGTGCCTCAGCTGTGCTTTGGTGTGCACCTGTGATGCTCTCAGCCACTCAAATCCAGACCCAGAAAACTTGTCATTTGGTAACATGTGAAACAGGCTGGATGAAATGGAAGGTAAGACCTGAGCCTCCATTCCCAGAAAGGCAAGGCCAGTTCTGTGATCTGTGGCACACCAGAAATACACAGCTCACCAAGTGCTTGATCACTATTAACCTTTTTACCAAGCTGCTCTCTAAATGACCATGCTGGCTAATGAGAGATGGGACTAGGTGGCTTCCATGTAACCAATCTGGACCTCACACCAGCTGATCCAGGCTGCTGGTTTATTTAATTCAAAGAGGCTGCATCGAGCAACCCTGCTCACCTTTCTCTTTGCTCTCTTCTGTTTTCTTCTCAGAGCTGCTTTTGGCACCTGCTTGAGGTGGCTTCTTAGGAACATCCTTCTCCTCATCAGATGAAAGCACTGCCAAAGGATCACCAAAAGCTGGGAATTACCCCATAGGGGCAGGAAAGGAGAATAATCCCAATACAAATAAACAAATCCAATGTTATTTAGAAGAACAGTTCTGCACTAAACCAAACACTATCCCCCTCTCTGTGCACATGAGGACAGGAGACTACATCTGCCCAAAGCCATGAACAGAGGTTCTGCAGGGACCTGGGATACCCCTGAGTCTTCCTGAACTTCAGACACTCAAGAGTTAAGTTTCTGCACACATTTTCTCCATTTTCTTTCTCCTAGAAGAAAATAACTCAAAATGTGGGTGTTCTAATGCTCAAACACTATTTATGTGAAGAAAATGGGGGAAAGAAAGTCCACCTAAATCACCTAAAGCCCATTAATTATTTTAATAGATGCTGATCTTACTTAAAGTGAAAGCTTTGACAATCAGTTCTTGGCTGTGCCAGGAAACCACCTCCCATGTCTGGAAGTTGGAAGGAATGCCCACTGACCAACAGGGCTCCCAAGTGCTACAGACAGTCATTAAAAACCAAAGCACATGTGAAAATGCAAATGGCCTCAGGTAGTCTCCTGGGGAGGGTCTCAAATGCAGAGCTGTGTTGTTTTTTTTTCCTTTGGTCAACTCTGAAGGATTAGATTTGTACCAGCACCATAGGGGTGAAGGACTCTGATCTCCTTAACCATCCAACCTTTTGGTTAACACAAGGGGCAAGCTGTGGGCAAAGAGCTAAGGCAGAGTCCTCAGCTGCCCCCAGGCACCTACATGCTGAAGTGAAGCAACCTCCTACCTTCAAAGTTGAATTTCTTGTACTGTCGGGGAGCACCAGGAGATGAGAGTGGCTTCTTCTCCACTGCAGGTACAGAGTCTCCTAGAAAGAGGCCACAGCTTTCAGAGACAAGGTTCTACAGAGATGACCCTCTCCCACCAGGGATGAAGGTCACTTTTCTAGCAGCAGCCCCCAAAAGCACATAATGCAACAGTCTCCCCTCAGCCCTACAGGGTGGGAATCTTTCTGGAGGGGTCTCCATGAAAGCAGAGGAGAGAAGGGCCTGTGGAAGAGCAGGGCAGTTTTGGCATGTCTGAAATGCAACCCCTCTGGCTCACCTTCCATGCAGATCAGGCAGGTGCCTGGTCTTTGACCTGCACCAGGGAACAGGCAAATGGTGTACGGTGGGAGATGGCAGCAGGGATGTTAGGGATGTCACCAGACCACAACAAGAGGCTGGGCCAGGGATCTCCCAAGGGAGACCTGGGACAGCCCCAAAAAAGTAAAGGATTTAAGGGAACAAATCCCCTTTTGTTCTCTCCCAGAAGACAAAAAAAACCCTGTTCCTTTAGAACCAGGCTATGAAAACAAGAACAGAGTCTCCTTTTTACCCTTTTCAGGAGCTAGCAGCTTCCCTGCAGTTTTCACAGCTTCTCCTGAGGAGCCACGTTTCCTAGGACCTTTCACAGTGTTCTCCCCTGGCCCAGAACCAGGTTTTGATATTCCCAGGAGATCAGCTTCCATGTCATCCATGTCCTGGAAATCAAAAGGACGAAGATGAGAGCAGGCTGAGTGCTGCTACTGCCTCATGGCTGCTTCTCCCTTTGGAGGCTGCAGCTGCAGGGCACGTGGGGCTGAGGGGGAGGACATTTATGCACATTTACCTTCAGGGTCTGCAGCAGAGCTTGAGGGTCTGTGTCAGAGGCCCCAGACCCCTGCGTGCCAAGGAGGGCAGAGATCAGAGACAAGCAGACTCTGGAAACTCCTCACCCCTTGTTTCCACACTCTGGCCCCTAGTTTTTCTCATTTTATGGAATGGAAAAAATACATGCCCAACTTCTCCTGATATCCCCCTCCCTGGAGACCTCCTGTGCCTTGAGTCACTTGCTGAGATCCTGGGAGAAGCATTAGGAACACCCAGGCCATTGCTTTGGGGAAGGATCCTTCCTCCAGTACTTCACCTGAAGTGCACCCAGGCAGGCTGGGCTGCAGCACAATGTGCCCCACTGACTTTGTTCCTCCTTATCCAGGGCACCTGAAAGCCCTTCTCCCACCATCCACCCTTATCCCACCTTCCCCACACCACAGTCATGTTGGAGAGGGTTTACACCTTCACCAGAATTCCATGGTTTATCCCTGATATCCTGCTGCCACCTTGGATGGGGTGACACCAGGGGAAAGCCTGGCCTGGCTCAGTCCCAGCCCTCAGGACATCCAGGATCTCTCCCAAAATTTGGGCTCACCTCTGCAGCTTCCTCATCTTCTGCAGGGAGTTTGCTGAAGAAATCATCCTCTGGAAAGGACCTGTGAGACAAGGCTGGGGGTTAGCAGGACCACAGGATGGGGTAGGTCAGAAGGGGCTGGGGAGCACAGAGAGATCTCCAAGGGGGAGAGGCTGTGTCTGAGCACTCACTTCTTGCTGGGCTCTGAGCTGGTGCCCTGGGCTCTCCCACCACTGCTCCTGGCTGGCTGGGAAGCTTTGGCAGGGGGTTCATCTAGAAAAAAAAACAAAACACAAAAAACCAAGGAGATTAGGATGATGGACATGGGCATATTCCTGGCCTAGGTACTCCAAAAGGGTTTTTCCTGTCTCCCCATGAGCCCCAGAGGCTTTTAATCAGAAATAGGACTTCATCGCCCCCTCCAACCTACTAAATGGTCTCTAGCTCTGGAAAACTCTGCTCCCTGCTTTATCCCCCTTCGCAACTGGACCCCCTTATAGATGGATGGCTGTTGCACCAGCACCTTCTGTTCCCAGGAGAGGAGTAAGAGCACCAGGATGCTGCCCTTTCAGATGCAAAGAAGGTTCATTTTACCATCATATCCCAGGAGGTCACCAAGCAAGTCATCAATAGAACCTGAAATGAGACAAATAAAAGGTATTGAGGCAGGTGAGCTCACCAAGCAGGTGTAGAAAAGCTCCCAAGTTCATTATGGCTCACTCTTTAAAAAAACCCCAAGAATAAAGGTTTGGTCTCAAACATCATCATCTTAAGGCCTTCCTTGCCAGCCTAGAAATAACTGCCAGGACTTGATCCAGTGTTTTGTGAAGAAAAGATTTGGCTTCAATTAGTGAGAAATGGGACATCTCTACTCAAGTGAGCCAGCTGCTTTCTATTCAGTCACTGGCCACATGCAGCACTTGATCTGTGAGCTCTCACCCCCTCTCAGAGCCCTTGGGCAAGCCCAAAAGCTTCAGTATCAGGGGCTGCAGCAGGCCCTAAACAGGCAGGCAGGGAGTACAGGAAGAACTGAAAAAAATGTATATATTCTCCCCTGGATTTGGGAAAGCCCACAAGAAAGGAATATAGGACCCCAATAAGCAAATCTACTTGATGTGAGAGGCAGGTGAGTATCTCTGGTTCAGGAATGACACGACACAACTGCATCTTTCAGACATGAGCCATGAAACATTTCAGTAGCCAGGACTGCCACCTGATCCCAGTGTCCCCCCTCCTCTGTCCTACACATCAGAGCACCTATAGACAGTGAGAGGAAAGCACATGAGTGTATGTACCTCTTAAACTTTTCTTGGATTTTGCAGCCTATGGGGAAAAGACAAATTACTTCATTAGAAAACAAAGCAAGTCTGACCCAGACTTTCTCAAAACACTAAAGTCAGCAGCAGGTTTCTCCAGAGAATCCCACAAGCAACAAAGCCCTCCTCTCACCCACACCATGTGGGAAACAATGTGTGAAACAGGAGGCACACACAGAGATGTTAAAACTTTTGAGACACAGTGAGCACAGCCCCTCCTGATCACCAGCTACTTAGAAGCCTCCAGTGCTCGGGATAATTTCTGTCTCTGAACAGAGGCTGCCAGAGCATGAACTCTGGATGTCCCAGACCTACCTGTGTACTGTGTCACACTCACCATTGCAGGATCTCAGCCTTCCCCTGCTCCAGCAAGCTTGTTTACTGATTTATCAGATATCCTTGTCCACATTGTGGGGGGGATCCAACACTGTTGAGCACATCCACACCAAGCTCCTACCTGTGGGGAGAGGAGGATTTCCTGATTTCCTGTTAAACCAACATCCCTCTCCTGCTCAGGGCCTCTCTGCAGCCTGCCAGGCTGGCTCCATGCTGCTCTGACCTCTCCATGCCTTTCTAAACAAGGCTCAAACTGAGTTTGAAAAACAACCCCCCACTCCCCAAAACTCTGGAGCTTCTACAGCAGCTTCCACAGGGAACAACACGCTGACACCAAGGAACCACTCAGCCAAACAACCCGAGATGGAGCAAACACCACCCTCCCTGTCCCCTGTGTGCAGAGAGCCCAGGGGTTAGCTCCCACTTTGCTCAAAACCTGGAAAACACTCCAAGGGGGCTGGAAGAAGGGAAAGGGGGAAGGGAAAGGAGGAAAGGGAAGGGAAAGGGAAAGGAAAGAAACCTCCTCTCTTTGGGCCTGCAGCACCCGGGGGGTCTCAAAGGAGAGGAACGGCTGCAGGAGGTGAGGGGTGCAGGGCTGCAAGGAGCCCCCCAGGTTTCTGAGCAGTGATGCCCCCACACCCCGTCTGCCACGGCAGCCAGTGCCCTCCTGATGC